AACTAAACACTTTTTTTTATCTTACCAGGTAAAGCCCACCAAGCTATTAGCTTATTTTTCAGAAGCGACCAAACCACAAATGACAGCTCAACAAAAGTGGCTTATCACGTGAAAATGTATAGCACGTGTGGTGACTGTAAGGTGTTGGCCCCTGTAGCTCACATGATGGCCTCTGTATGAGCCTGCTCAGCCAGCTGGTTGACTACCTGCCCTGCTTCCTCCTCCAGACGAACCTACAGGACAGACCATTGCTACACTAAGTAATGCTCACATCACACTGAGAAAACAGAAAGATTGTACACTGCGACATTACATTCCCACACTATGTGTGAAATGTGAAAAGTGCGCACAATATAAAAAGGGGCCTTTTGTTTTTTTCATTGGGAGGATATTCATTTTTATGTTACATTAAATCGGTGATATACTTTTCAAATAAGCTTCGTGTGGTTAATAAACTGACAGGCCTATTGTCTAAATTAAATGTTCGAAATGTTTGGAGTACAGTCATACCTTATCTTCCAAAAACTTTCTCTCCATTTTAGCCAGAGCTTCTTTGTGATTCTTGCCGGCTGCATTCATACTCTCTGTAATCTACATCATGAAGCATACATAATTATATTAAAATTTGCTCAAACAAACTAAACTTTAGTGATAAAAACACACGTGTAATTGGAGCTTTTACATGAATAATTTTTCATGGAAATTGTAACCCATGTGTATAACTACATGCCAGTAATCTTTGTTTTTTTTTCAGTAAAGTCACGTATAAATAAGAAATAATAAAATAACATATTATTTCTTATTTATACGTGACTTTACCGAAAAAAACAAAGATTAATTCCTGCAGTCACAAAAGCTTCGAACCAAGTTTACATGCCAGTATATATACGTTCTCAACTTTTCAACATACTGAGTGCGTGTGACAATGGAGGTGCAGGTTCGGTACCATCACGGTTATCACGTTGTGCTACGAATCCGGTGACCGGAGCTAGATTCCTGCTCACGGACATTTCCAACCGGTTCTGGGCCTCCCCTAGGTCGACTCAGCCTCAAATGAGTACCTGGTGCGATTGTGTAAAAGTCGCCACAAGGAAGACATGCATGGTCCTGGCCACCCACCCCTTCGTGTGGCATGCCGGCCTTCATAGGTGCTCGCTAACAACACTTGCTCCAACAGTCTGCTAAGACTATACCGGGGATCTTTGTTTATGCAGGTGCAGGAATGTTGTCACCTCATCCAGCTCTTGCTGCATCTGGTCTCGCTTCAGGCGAAACTCGTGCATGTCTCTCAGCTCGCTCTGGAGTTGATTGACCTCACTGCTCTTCTGCTCCAGCCGCAACTCCATCTCCGCCTTCTGCTCCTTCGCCTCGTCGATCTGATCTCCAAATAACGTTACCATTTTACGTTTAACTTAAACAACGATGCGAAGCACAAACAACTAAGTCAACATTCTCTTTATGTAGCGTCAGAATGACTCACCAGTTTTTTCATTTCGTCCCTTATTTCTTGTCGATTGTCTTCAATCTGCTTTTGCAGCTTCTTGATCTGTGGTGTCATAACATTCATATTAAAAATAAACCTATAATAAAAACAACCTTCCGCAATTGGGTTCGCTTGTCTACAGAGAACCGAGACTCTTATCAGACTATATTTGGTTGGACATATTGGCAAATAATAACCAGAAAAAAACAAAACATATCCCCCAAATACAACAATGAATATCACTGAATTGCTCAATGTCTCGCCCACCAGCCTGTCCTTCTCCAGGTCTTGTGACTTCATGTAGCTGATGACGTCTATGGAGTCGCGTTCCACGGACCCCAGCTGTTGGAACAACTCGTTGTTGGACTGAGCCATGCGGCGCGCAGCCTCCCGGTACTCGCCACGGGAACGTTCCGTGGCCTCCAGCCGGGACTCCCAGAGCGTGGCGTTGGCACACGCTCGCTCCAGCTCCATCTCGCGATCCATCTGCCTCTCCTTGTGCTCCCCGGTTTTGTTCTTCCTTGCAGAGGGAGCGCAGCACAAAACGAGGACATGTGTGCGTGTGGCAGAAGTATGGAGTTTGAGTGCTGACCACAATGCCTTCACCTAGGTCTGTGCCGTCTATACCACTGTGACATCTAGTCACTCGTTCATCAATGGTCGGACGCCTACTTGTCTTCTGTCGCTAATACCTCAGTTGCTGTCCCCATGAACTTCACTCATCGTGTCCTCCACCCACCCTTGTTGATGACTCAGTCTATCAAACGGACTGTTTCATCTCGTCCATAGTGTTCAACCACCACACAGATCACAACACTTATTTTTCTGCTGTTTCCCTCGCACTGTAATTCCCTCCCGTTGTCTATTTTTTTCCCCCAAGTTCAGATAACTTTGCTCAACTCAATAAACGTATTAAACGCTTGTAATGCAAAGCACACCTTCAATCGTGTTGTGTGCTCCTGGCTGCTCGGTGCTTTGGGGGCTCTGGATCTGTAGTCAACAACCGTCATTTGAAAAACACATAGAGCTAAGTGTCACAGTGGCCAGCACACACCCGAGGTGGCAGTGGTCAGTACTCTTCAGTACTCATCAATACTGAGCCACTTTGCACAATGTTAACAGTTAAATTCCCTATCTTAGTCACATGTACGGTAATTTCGAGATGTGTATCATAGTGGTACAGTATTTCTGACAGAGTAAATATCATATTCTTGGTTCTTTCGGTAAAGTCACGTAGAAGGGAAACAATAAAATAAAAATATAAAACAATACAATTCTCATGACGTTTCGACTGCAACACAAGCAATCATCATCAGGTGTGAAAACCACATCAAGAAAATTTGAAAAAATTGGCGGTTTTTTGCTTTAGTCTGCATGTGGATGGGAGCTGGTTTATAAAACTTAAAGTAATTAATATTACATCGTAGATGTCCTCTACTGTCCTAAGAGTCGCACATGGGTTTGCCACATGTCCAGGCTTCACGCAGACAGGCCGGGAATTGACAGCTGTGTTCGGTTGGCAAATAATGTATTCAGACTGAGATCTGGAACCGGGATAATGTTGAACTCTATTACTGTATAATATACTGCACCATTTTCATAGGCTTACGCTGGCTGAGAAATATATCTGGGATCGGTTTGTGGAAAAATGATCGACTCTAACCACATCTTACAAAACACACTGAGTATACTTTGTAGACTGCAGTGTATCCAGAGTATACTTCATAGTGTTTGCTGCTGGGGCTGCATATGTGCTGCTGGTTGTAGTGTGCTATTGTTAGTGAGTCTCATGTGCAAAATTAAAGAGCCTCAAACATCATATTAGTTAAAACACCGGGCAGGTTTCTTAAATATCCCTGCTAATGTACACTCAGCAACATTATTGAAACACCACAGTTGTATTCTTGGTTCTTTCGGTAAAGTCACGTAGAAGGGAAACAATAAAATAATAAAAATATAAAACAATTAATTTCTCACGACGTTTCGACTGCAACACAAACAATCATCATCAGGTGTTGCAGTCGAAACGTCGTGAGAATTTTATTGTTTTATATTTTTATTATTTTATTGTTTCCCTTCTACGTGACTTTACCGAAAGAACCAAGAATATGAATCCTTGCAGTCACGAAAGCTTTAAATCAAAAAGAGTAAATATCGTTTAAAATTGTCGCGATAACATTGCCTTAAAATAAAAATATTAACTTTAAGGCAGTGTTGTTGATGATGGTGTTGAGTTGCTTTGGTAATTGTGCTTGGGGACCATTGCCCGTAAAACACTTAGGCATCGCCAAATAATTTGCCGTGAAATTAAAACAAATCCGACATATATACACAAAAGCTCAACACATTGGTGAAAAACACTGGCCTTATAATAATAAAATATATATATATATAATTGGCGACGTTTCGGACAATGACCCTTATTCATATCAGAGCGATATATTGTTATATATGAATACGTCGTGAACGAGTGACATTTTAACACAAACCACTGATACATCTGTAATGCGTGTCAGTGATGTGCGCGTGCAATTCGTAATTTGCGGCACTGTGCTGTATGCCATGCGGCCAAGAGCTGCTGTGTACGCGTGCTGAGCTTTGTCTCGCTGTCATTACTCCACTGGCGGAACAACGCAGCCCGTAACTCTTACTTTTTCCCCTGCTTCGCTCCCTTAGCCTTGACCTTGACCTTCTTCTTCGGCATCGTTGCGGAGTGTCCCTTGCTTTCACTTTAAGTAGTTTTACCGCCGAGACTTTTACTCGCTAAAGTAATCACCTTTACCGTCTCCTCCTGCCTCCTGCCTGCCTTGTTCCTGTTGCCACGCCGAGCGTTTCCACGAGCAACGCCCGATCAATAACGTGCGTAGTGACGTCACAAAGCACACACACCCCCCCACCTCCGTACGTCGTCACGCACGCGTCGTGCCGCCTTATGACGCCACGACGCCATGAAGCCGCGACGTCGACGTCACGACGTGAAAGCAAGACGCGTGCCATCGCGTACGTCACGACGTGCACCGCGACGTCACGACGTGCACCGCGACGTCACGACGTGCACCGCAACCTCACGTGGCGACGTACCTAGACGACGTGATTGCGCAATTTATATCGAGATATGGGGTGGTCCAGATGTATTGTGACACGCCAAATAATTGACCCCTTACATTGTCTTCCTTTGCATATTAATGTCTGCGTTAAATAAACCTTCCTTTTAAACAAAGCAATGTTACGTTTCTGATAATTTAATGGGGGTTACAAGACACTTTGACCACCACGTACATTGCATATATACAGTACGGCATATGTATGCAGTTCATAATTTGCGGACGTCACGAGGATGCAGAATGACGTCATGTCGGGCAAACTCCCACTGCGCTCGAACGTCACGACGCACGGACGGCGGTGACGCAAGGAACGTCAATCCCTCCCCACCCCACCCCACCGCCACACACACAAGGGGGCGTGGCTCCCCCACAGGCAATGTCTCCACGTCCTACACGCACGTCATGCCGTTGCAAATGTTGACGTCATCACGCAAGCACCGAGACACCGACCAAGACCCCCGGCGTGCGTCGTCGTCGTCACACCGGCGGCGGCGACGGCGACGAGGACGTCGTCGTTAAACCCGGCGCGCTCCTGGGTCGCCGCCTCCTCCTCCTCCTCCTCGTCGTCGTCGTCCTCCTCCGCTGGAGCTGAAGCCGCGGACCCCGCGACCCGTGGAGCTCGGGGAGGCCCCGCTCATGTTCCCGCCCTACGTCAAGGTCCGTCCGAGCGCTCTCGCCGCGGGAACCGTGAGGGGGTGAGGGGGTGAGCGACATTGGGTGATGTCTCTCGAGGGTTCCCCGCGGCGTCCATGAGGTTGGGGGGTGTAGCGGGGAGACGATGCCCGGGTCCTGCGTGTGGCCCGGGTCCTGCGTGTGGCCCGGGTCCTGCGTGTGGCCCGGGTCTTGCGTGTGGCCCGGGTCCTGCGTGTGGCGGCGTTGGACTTTGGGCGCTGCGGGGGTTTGAGCCGAGAGAGATTTTACGCAGCGCGTCTCTGTGTCTCCCTGTGTGTCTCCCCCTGTGTGTGTCTCCCCCTGTGTGTGTGTGTCTCCCTGTGTGTGTGTCTCCCTGTGTGTGTGTCTCCCTGTGTGTGTGTCTCTCCCTGTGTGTGTGTCTCTCCCTGTGTGTGTGTCTCCCTGTGTGTGTGTGTCTCCCTGTGTGTGTGTCTCCCTGTGTGTGTGTGTCTCCCTGTGTGTGTGTGTCTCCCTGTGTGTGTGTGTCTCCCTGTGTGTCTCCCTGTGTGTGTGTCTCCCTGTGTGTGTCTCTCCCTGTGTGTGTGTCTCCCTGTGTGTGTGTCTCCCCCTGTGTGTGTCTCCCCCTGTGTGTGTCTCCCCCTGTGTGTGTCTCCCCCTGTGTGTGTGTGTGTCCCCCTGTGTGTGTCTCTCCCTGTGTGTGTCTCTCCCTGTGTGTGTGTCTCCCTGTGTGTGTCTCCCTGTGTGTGTGTCTCCCTGTGTGTGTGTCTCCCTGTGTGTGTGTCTCCCTGTGTGTGTGTCTCCCTGTGTGTGTGTCTCCCTGTGTGTGTGTTTCCCTGTGTGTGTGTCTCCCTGTGTGTGTGTCTCCCTGTGTGTGCCTCAAATGAGTACCCGGTGGCGATGTGAAAACACTGTGGAGACAAAGGCGGCCGGGCGTGGTGTTGGCCACCCACCCTCTTGCCCCTACAGTATGTTGAGGCTATACGGGGGGTCTTTGTGTGTATAATACCCTCTTGCTGCCAACAGCGTAGCACGCGGTAGCCTGTGGCAGAGCTGATGAATGCAAGCACTATCCAGGCTCAAAACGTGCTTGACAAATTCTCGCAATTTAGTCATAGGTTTGAGATATGGGGGTGAGACTATGCTGTAGTCTATGCCCCCCCCCGACCCTCAATCAAAATCGCTGTTTGTGATGAAGGGTTATTAATCGTCAAAGTAGGTGGGACACCAGTGCAGCTGAGATACGTGCGTGTAAGGATACGGTTCGACCAGGGTTCGATTAGCGGCCACGGCTAACGTCAGTGGCAGGTCATTTCTGAACTCGTCCTGCCCCCCACACACCCTTCGCCAACCCGCACTGATCAAAGTGCGGTGACTAAGCGACCTCCATGCCCTACACGGTGTGGGGGCGTCCTCCTTGCGGCAGCAGATTGATCAAATACATACCGTGGTCCCTCGGTGAACGATATTAATTAATCGTTAATCGAGTATAGGAAATACACGTTCAAGGCCTCATTTGTAACTTGACCTCTTTCACCCTAAAAACATAGTTTGTAATATTTAAACACGCAGTTTTAATAAATAAACGTGATACGAACATATTAAATCATCAATTAATAAATAGAGCATAAATAGGTGCATAAATAGAAGATAATATAAAACATTATCTTAGACCAATAAGATGTTTTCCTCACTCTCGTCTTCACATTCATTTTAGGGGTCATTGTTATTGATCTAATTCAACTTTGAAGTAAAAAAACCCACTAAGTATTCAAGGGAGCTGTTTCCATAAGCAACGCACCATCAAACATTGAAAAGCTGGCTGCCAGTTGCTCTCAAAAAGCTGATAAAAGGGCGTCGCTGGTTGGTTGAGGTCTGCAGAGTTCACTTCGGAGCGGTCCGATTGGCCGAAATTAGCGGCCCCGCGGTATTGTAAACATGTCGTTAATCGAAAATGTCTCGTTAAAAGAAACAATGGGATCCAGGCGGATCGTTAATCGATAGATATATCGTTCATCATGACATCGTAAATCGAGGGGCCACTGGTTAGCGTATCAAATCAAGGTGGGGGTCTATATTTATAAAGTAAAGACATGGGTTGCTTGCTATAACTACAATTTAAAGAGAATACATAGTTAATGGTTTTAACGAATTAAAAACAAAATAGAATTGTCATCTGAGCCAGGGAATTAGACCTGGGCTGCGTGTCAAGGTCGCTGGCATTCTCTCCCCTCAGCTACAGCGTCACGCCTTACTGAGATATGGTGGGGGAATTTGTAACATTGAGTCTAAATCTGCAATTTCTTCGAGCTACGTCACGCCGGTAAGTTGGCAGGCAACATACCACACTTGTGAAATGGTGGAGACGCCCAGAATAAAGCAGTGGGAAGGCATGGGCTGTTGGAGGTTGTGCTACTGATGCCACGTGGAGTGGGCACTCCCACTGGCATCTTAAACAGTAGGGGCAAGTGGGCAACGAGGTGTTGGCCTTAACCGCGACTGCTTGGCTGATATCCTTGCATGCACTGCAATATCAGGGCTGGCCGTACGTAGCCTTAGGGCAGTGCTGCACACGGGTGTTCGCTTAGCAGGTGGTGCGGACGTTGCAGATGGAGATGAAGCGGTGGCGGCTTCGCCCGAGCGCCTGCGCGCTGTTGCTCGGCTCAGCGCTGCTCGTGCTGCTCTTCTACGTGGGGCTGTGGTGCAGCGCCAGCATGGGCCTCCCCGATGCCGAGCTGCGCCTCGACCCCAGCGAAGACGGTGCCGCGGCCGCCCCGGGGAGGATGTTCTACGGCATCATGTTCGACGCCGGGAGCACAGGCACCAGGATCCATGTGTTCATTTTCAAGCAGCTCAACAAAGGTGGAAGGAATCGTAAAATATTGCATTTCGTTGGTGTTGATTGATGAGTGGAATTTATGTTTCAGTTAGTTATCATTATGAACGAAGGTGCAGCTTGTGTATTTTCTATTTAAACCGTTCCGAGCAAAGGCGCAAAATGTCAAGTATCCAGCAATAAACGTAAAAATTGTGATAAGGGGTAACATTGTTGCTTGGAATGGGCAGCGTTATAACAGCTTGTGAAAAGAGACGAATGGGAGAGGATTTTCCAAAGTCAAGTCGTGCTGTGTTGTGTCCTGCAATGTGGTGGTTGAACACTATGGATGAGACGAAACAGTCTGGTAGACTGTCCCCAACATTGGTGGAAGAGTCAATGAGTGAAGTTCATGGGAACAATAACCATGATACTAACTGTATGCAGATAATATTAAAACATAATTTTATAAATTGTATAACTTTGGAATGTTACATCCAATTAGTTTGACTAAACTTGACTTTTATTTTTAAAGAAAACTCTTCACCAATTGCTAAAATACTGAAATATAACTATTGGGGAAATAAAAATGTCGCTTTGTGATAAAAAAAAATATTTTTTGGTGTTCTGCCTTAACAGTGATTTAAATGAGGTTGTATTTTTTTGTTATTGTATGGTGTTCATTCATGTAGCCAACCTGCCGGAGCTGACAAGTGAAGTGTTCCTTTCCGTGAAACCTGGCCTCTCAGCATATGCTGACCACCCAGAACAGGTGATCCGGTGCACAAACTCCACACAAAACATTCAAATTATGCATAAAAGAACAACTAATGTGGCATAGCACAGGTCGCATGGGCCCTGTTGCAAAGAATCAAATGTGGCTCCTTTTAAAAGTTCTCCCCTCTTTGAAGCACGGCGCCTGGGCCCATCCAGCCCGTCAGCCCCGGTGCAGCTACCAAGGATTGCAGATACATGATGGCTTACCAAGGAAAACTATCCAAGATAATCATACACACATAGCAATTGTTTTAGATGAAAGCAAACTCTACAAAACATCTGTACCACCCACCAGGAATGTCAGTCGCACAGCAAGTGATGTGACTGGCATGCTTCAGGCACTTGTAGCTGATGCTTAAAGAGCCTGAAGAGAAAGTAGGACTGGTGTGCAAACAATTCTGTAGTTTCAGCTTTTCAGAGATGGGATCACCAGGATGTTGTCCCTTGAATATAAATACTTAATTTAGAACAAACTACATAAATTATGAAACTAAACTTTATGTGCTTTTGCCCTCTGAAGGACACTGTGTATTTCTTCATATTTCAGATACAGGGGTTGGAAAATAATCTTGATATTTACTAATATTTGTAAGATTTAATATAGCTTAAAACTGTTTCTTACAGACTGGCTGGCGTTTTTGTACGTTAGAGAACATTAGTTACGTGAAATACTCATGCTTAACATTTACCGTTGAGTCTGCCTTTAAGGCAAGTAACTAAACATTTTAACTGTTTACAAGGAAGTGTACGTCACGGTGTTTTAGTTTGCAGCCACCCCATTCATGTCGCTTTAGCCTCACTTAACAATTTATATATTTTTTTAATGTATTTTCGGGTTGTACCATGTGTTGTTTTTGTGAACACACTTTCGTACAGTACATCTGGAAACGTAACTACTCCCATCCACCTCCCATCCCTCAATGTGATCCAGAGTGTGCAGTCCATAGAGGAGCTGCTGGCCAAAGCAAAGAAGGCCATCCCTGAGACACAGTGGCAAGAAACTCCTGTGGTGCTGAGGGCCACGGCAGGCCTGCGCCTTCTACCTGGCCGGAAAGCAGATGTTTTGCTAGAGCAGGTGAGCGTGTGCTTTGTGCAGGGCCTTGTTAATTTTTAAACATTAAGAGAGATGACCTCATCGTTTGTGTGAACGTGCCTGTGGAAATGGCCATGATCATCATCAGTTGTGAAAATCTGAACTGGTAATGGGCCTCACCTAGGTCGATCCAGCCTTAACTTAGTTCCCGGTGCAATGTGTAATCATCGACACTGAGGAGCAAAAGGCTGTGTCATAGCACTCTGTAATGCGCCATGCGGGCCTTGATAGGTGCCCAAAAAATAACAGTACTTGCCCAGCAGTCTATATAGGGTATATTAAATGTTTTTGTCTTTGTGCAAGGATGTAATTATAAATGGACCACAAACAGTTTTAAGAATTATTTACTTTGGAAAATGTTCCAATGTAATCCTTATTTTTAAATTTGATGTTTTTTTCACCAATTAAATATAAATTTTGATTTAAAGCTTTCGTGACTGCAGTAATTCATATTCTTAGTTCTTTCGGTAAAGTCACGTTGAAGGGAAACAATAAAATAATCAAATATATATAAAACAATTAAAATTCTCACGACGTTTCGACCATAACACAAACGGTCGTCATCAGGTGTGTGCAAATCGACACACCTGATGACGACCGTTTGTGTTATGCAAACCGACACACCTGATGACGACCGTTTGTGTTATGGTCGAAATGTCGTGAGAATTTTTATTGTTTTATATATATATTATTATTTTATTGTTTCCCTTCAACGTGACTTTACCGAAAGAACTAAGAATATCAATTAAATATAATTTGTGATTATGGAATTGACACGATATTAATAAATGTAAACTTTTCAAATCCTGTTCTCATACGTTTTTCACTCTTAATTTCTAAGGTGTTTATTTCAAATTATTAGGTCTTCAAATATATCTAATAATGTATTCCACATTTTAAATATTGCTCGCATCTTTTCACAGGTGCGAAATGTGTTTGACAGGTCCCCATTCAAAGTGCCAAAGAACAGTGTAGAGATAATGGATGGTGCAAATGAAGGTGTGAGTTTTAACTAATTTCATTGTCCTTTGCAAAATTCATCTTATGCATAAAACCGAGAGGACTGTTTTCTTGACATGGCTCCGTTTGGCTTTTATTTCAAGGTATTTCTTCATGGATCACGATTAACTTTCTTCTCGGTAAGTGTTTTTTTACATTAAGTACAGTCTAGTCTTAACATGAGCTATTGCTTAGACTGCCCCTGGTACACACATCTTAAATCAGTTGCAGTCAATATATTGACTGCCTTTTAAATTTTTTTTTTTATAAACAACTTAAGGCAGTCTCTGAAATGTGTCTAAAATATAATACGTTATAAAAATAGTGTCCCACTTGAAGGATGGCACAGGTGGAGCGCACAGTGCCTCTTTTTCCCATGGGAACCATTATAGTTAGCAGTAGTCTCTCCATGTTCTTAATTTGAACATCTTATATTCTGTTGTGAGGTGCAGTACGTGGTCTCCTTGGTCCCGAGAGATGTATCCACTCCTCTACTATTTTGCAGGATTTCTACGAGGGCCAGAAGACAAGTTGTTTGGAATACTTGACCTCGGAGGCGGCTCCACGCAGGTTACATTTTTGCCCCAGAAGCAGGTAAGAAGCATGCATGTATCACAGTATACACTAAGCTCAAAACATGCAATATGTATAGTTACATCTGGAAATGGCAGTAATCCTAATTGCTGCTGTCATACTTCTTACCTGCACCCTTAAATAAGAATACATCAACCCAATACTAAAATCATTCCACTCTCTTGAGTCCAATCTTGGATCAATTACACTCGCCATCGTCAAGTTCCTCCATAGACTCGCCCATATCTTAATCTAACTACTGTCCTCTATGCACTCTCTGCTCCAGCAAGCAAGGCTTCCTCTCGAAGCTGCCAGTCATCATTCACTAAGTGCCACGTGACTCAATCGCTTCTGCTGAACTTATTGTGTGGAATTCTCTTTCCCCAGCAACCAGTGCTGCCAATTAATTGTCCCTGTTCAAGTCCAGGCTTAAGGCCTTTTTTCCCTCTGCCTATGACTGACTGCATTGAGTTGTAGTCATATGAATCCAATTTTTAAGTCTGATATTTCCACATTTATTATTTTCATATAAATTGTTGTATTTGAGCTGCTAATTTATAAGGAAATAATTTGTAATTGAATAGCTTTTTTAGAAAATATTTTAACAATGCAGTCCATGCTCACTCTAATAATGCAGCCCATGTTTACTCTAATACAATATGTTTAACTTTTGCAGTCGGCTTCAGATGCAGATGTAACATCCTTCAAAATGTTTAACAAAACGTTCAAGATTTATTCCCACAGGTGAGTTATACACAATAAATGATAATGACATTGGTATATGATTATAATGTATTGAACGTATTACGGTATTTCAACCGAGTTGCTTTGTTAATTTTTTATTTTCAGTTACCTGGGTCTGGGTTTAATGTCAGCAAGACTGGCCATTCTGGGAGGAGATACAGGGGAACCAGGTGGGATAAACTTTTTTCCTTAATACTGTAATACTTAACAAATGTATTCCTGTCATTAGAGGGCAACCACTTTTGCTTGTTTATAGCTTTACACAACAGTTCACAAATATATACAATGCTATTTGCAGTTCTAAAGAGTGGAGTGGGAATGATTATAAATTATGAATAACAACATGTGTTTTGCATTAACATGGCATGTTTCCTAATTATTTATGTTAAATTAACAAGTTGTCTGATGCAGTATCACATGTATGTAATCCAGCATTTTTGGCTTACGAGTTGGTCAATAATTCAGGTTTATGAATCTTCCAAATCTCCTGGACTGCGGGTTGGCCAAGAGATAATACTGCAAATTGATTATTTAAACCATCTGTGCAGAGCCTTTAGTGTATTTTCCTGATGTGCGCGGTTTAACCGGGTATTCCGATTTCCTCCCACATACACAATACTCCTTAATTGAAGTGGCAAAATATGCAGAACCCTCATGAAAGGGTGTTGACTCGGTAGGCTTTTCTGGCATTAAGAGGATTATCAAATAGTATTTTAAATATTTCAGACTTCATACCTTCTTTATATTCAGAGTAGATATTTCGATTTAAAAACAAATGTACATATATACTTGTGTAGGCGGAAGGCGGTTGCTGAGTCCTTGCCTTCCCTCTGACTACAAGGGCGAGTGGAAACAGTCAAGCGTCACCTACTTGATCGGGGGACAGAAAGGTGGTGGGTATCTGGCTGTTGGGTCATTAAGTGCTACAGATTAGGACGCGTTTAATACTGCTGTCATATACAAACTCCTAAGAGTGCTACGGTTAATAGGGAAGTGTGCCATGCACATAAAATGGAAAGAGTTGTTCAGCACCATTTCTATAAATTATTTGGTGTGCAGTATCCATTTCTCTTTTTTTCTTTTGGAATAAGTGGAACTTTAATTAGGACTCCATAAAATATATAATTTGTATTACTTTATTATTAAGGGTGGGAGAAGATAGCCTTCACGCGGCCCACCAGTTAAGTGTCTCATCGCATGACTATTACCATCACTTTTAACTTTTTATAAATTGGTTATATATTATATATCTCAGATATTCGATTTCGAGTATATGTAAATCCCGTCCAATATCGGTCATTTTTAGGGGCCAAAATACCAGCCAAAGAAAAGTGGGACGTGCATTGAGTCTTATCAACTATACCTGGAAGACCTCTCTCGTACAAAGTGTGATGTGCTCGCCAAATGTTTACATCAAGAAAACATTAACATTGTGTTTCGATTTAAAGCTTTCGTGACTGCAAGAATTCATCTTCTTTGGTTCTTTCAGTAAAGTCACGTAGAATGAGAATAAAATAAAAAATTAATACAATAAAATAACACAATAAAATGTTAACCAAGGAAGATTAACATTGTGCTCAAGACAACTGACTCTCGACCTATAAAATCAACAGATACGACATAATTTCCATCATCAATCTGAAATATGGCCTCGCCACTTACATCAAGGCCTTAAAGATTGTGAGGTGATAGAATAAATCATTGCCAACAAAAAATCGGTCATCAGAATAGGCCAGGTGTCCGTGATCAATGTGTACAAACCACCGAAGAGTCCTTGGCCAACTCCAATGATCCCTATTGCAGCCTATATATTGCTATATGTGGGCGTCTTTAACAGCCACTACGCATAATGGGGCCACTCCACAAACAACGGACTGGTTATCCATAAACGATCCGTATCTGCTTTTCAATCGTAATCACAGAAGCAGTTTCCACACCGATGGAAACAGGAGTACAAACCAGACCACTGCTTCGTGTCCAAAAATCACCACGGCGTCCCGCTTTCCACAATGAGGCAAATCCTAGGACTGTTTCCCAGAGGAGGTTATTAATAAAAACCTCATCGAGGACCCTACCACTGCTCCACATGGCTTTCATCTGAAAGCTGTGGTGCTTCATCAAACATCTCAAAACAACAACTGGTCGCTTCGTTAGTGCGACTGCCGCCACCCGAACAAAACAATGGACCATATGAACAAGTGCATTCTATGCCCGTTCTCCAGCGGACTGGGCAGTGTTAGTCGCTTTGGTCCCGAAGCTACCACGTGGCTAAAAAACTTAAATGTGGACTTATAAATTACACATACTTGCCATGTTCTAGAAGGACAATATTATAAAGTATATATTTCACATATTGCTCAATAATGAAGACAATTGTGTGACATAAAACTGAACGCATAAATGTTACCATACACACATTGAAAAATTACACCTTGGTATGTGTGTCGGTGTGAACTCTGTGGCATGCAGCCAGCTTTAGCCTGTGTGCGATGAAAGTAGAGAAGATGCTGTCAGGGAAAGTGGAGCAGCCTGGAGGCATTCACCAGCAACACTTCTACGCCTTCTCCTACTACTTTGACAGAGCTGTCGAGTCTGGCCTCATTGGTGCGTCCTAAACTATAGTAACTGACCGAAATGTCTTAGAATTCTGAAGTATAAAAGGTTGTTTGATTTATAGATTTTCAATAAAACACTGCAATATAGTCAAATGTGTGTTTATCACTTGAGCCCTTGTGCTGTATAATGTGCTCTTAAAATACGATTTTAATCTGTGGATAGTCTAACCCACTAAGAAATAACAGCAAGTTCTCCTCTTTGTTTACAGCGCCAGAAGGCGGCACTTTGAAAGTTGGTGACTATGAAGACAAAGCCAAAAGCGGTAACTAACCTTTTATCCCAATAATGTACTTTACACGAGATTTGAACAAATTTATAGCAGCTCAACTTTCATTGCAATTTCATATAAAACAAAAGTATTGTGCATTGGAGGTAGATGCTTGGTCACGGATATGTTTCATCATAGTTGTATATGGCCTTGTAGTCGCACGCTAGTGCATCCGCTGCTTGTTGCAGAGGTTCACATTTTAAATCCAGCGGCCGCATTGATCATTGAAGTGGGTGTCATAACCATAATATTACTTTGCACTGTCTGTTTCACAGTGGAAATAGAAGATCCCCTGATATAATTTGCAAGAGTAGACCATTGTGCGCTAGCATCGGGAACCACAATTTGTCAAAATCGAAAATTACTCAGTTGGACTTCACAGCAAACATTGCACCAAACTGGTAGTTTAAGGCCCTAGTCTCTCATGAATATTAGATTATCCTGGCTTCTTGGGTTCTCACCTGGTTCAACAAACTTGACCCGGACTGGTGTATGGGGACTGTTTAATAATTGGCCCTCGTGGCTGTGCTGATCTTGTGCAGTTTGTGATGGCAAGCAGGCCATCAAGGGTGCCGACCCCTTTCTCTGCATGGACCTAGCATATATTGCAGGTTTCTTGCAGAAGGGCCTGGGCTTCAGCAGAGACACTCCTCTGCAGGTGAGTTTACAATGTGTTGATATTGTCAATTGGTAATATGTGCTGAAGGAGTAATAATTTAGACTCGTTTACATTATATTAGTAATCATTGACACTGCAACATAAGCACATGTCCATGTTGCTTTGCTGTATTTGTCCAATACAGCTAACCTAACAGTATCATAAATAAAAATAAAATACTTCCATTTCATACTCAACTTTTATAAAGAGTTCACGATACATTTAATGGCCTATTTGCCTCGCATTATATTAACGTGCATGCTGTATGTGTCCACATATTAAATGTGTGTATTATTAACCTTGCATTTCATTTTGTGGTTTCACAGTTGGCCAAGAAGATAAACAATGTTGAGACTGCTTGGGCTCTGGGAGAGACGTTTCATTTCATCGATTTTATGCGCTAAAGACTCATGACGCAATCAATTCTGCTAAACCAATGTGGCGTTTTGTTAAACTACATGTAATGTAAAAATTCCAAACACCATCACTCCATTTACACAGTTTCTTTTTTTAATAAAACCACGCAAGATATCAGACGAACCTACAATTATCAAGCTTGTAAATGTTGCAAAGTGCAATTTTACCCATTGTGGTAAATGGTTAAATCAATCAAAATTACTCGAATATTTCTTCATAATCTGAACTTTAAAAGAACAGATATTTCCAAGATTCTGTATTAAAGATCGAACAGTTTCAACGTCAGTGTATACCTTGAAGAAATGTAGCGCTGGGTGCACTTTTGGGGAAAAAAATGTGAAACGGTTGTTTTGCTCATGTTTAATTTCTTATTTGTGTAAATCTTTAAATTGACACGTGGCAAACAGCTGCTGTAAAATATATAAAGTAATGCATGTTGTAAGCCACAGTCAGAGGGTAAAAATGCAATGTTCATTGTACAAAGCACAAAAACAAATTGTACATTTCTTCGGTTTGTTTATGGCCTAAAGAATGTGAATTAAAATGTACTGTTCACTGTTATTGTATGAAAGTTTTACAATCATGTTAATTACTAGAATCTCATTGTGGTATGCAGTAAGGTGTAGAATTAACAGCAAAGAACTTTACACTGCCATACTAATGTCAATACACTGAAACCCATTTCTATACAAAAGATCTACATATTTTATCTTTTCACATTGCAGTAAGATTTGCAATTCACTATAAATAACACCGCTTTTTGATCTTACAAATACGATGCACATGGAAAAGTGAAAAAGAATGGACAAATATTTGGCTGCAAGGCAGCTTTCTACCCTCTGTTTCCATGACGGTAACACAAATAATAATACTAAATAATTGCCGTACTTTGCTTCAGCAGCGGTGATAAGCACTCCGAGCCATGCATAACTTTTTTATTATATTTGGTTTGTCGAAACAATACATTGCTTAAAATCACAAACACTTGTGAAATGATTGTCACTGATTGCACAGCCAGTATTCATCTGGCACGCTTAATCATGTCAAGGAACCATGTTGATTGTCACGTTCAATTAATCTACAGTATCTTTTTCATAATCCAAATGATAATTGCTAATGCATGTCTACAATCTTTGGCCTGGCTTAGATTATGAAAATCTATTCACTTGCGATACTATGGATGACATCGCTTGCAGGAAATATTACTTTTTTATTTTAATCAGAGGACAGTACTTTGTACGTTTGCCATCAATTGTAGCTGTTTTTATGTAGCTCGTATTGTTAAAGCTATATTTTAGCAGTTGTAAATAACATGTGTTATTGAATCGAAGACATGCCCATATGGATCTCGTCTGACAAATGATCTTGATTTGTCCTGTACTTTCCATTGTTTTGCTACTTCCAAGAGGCTTGCATTTTGCAGTCGATGTACAGCATTCGTACTTTAAAGGGTCATTATTTTGGTCATGATTTGTTTTTGTTATTCAATGCCAGTACTTGCAGGTTCTTAAAATGTGTTGAAAGTGCAATGCTTTTTTCATGCTATTTCAGCAAGTGTAATTTGTTATAAAGATGCAAGAATAATCCAGTAACTATGAGGTTGAAAATTATGAACATGAGGTATAGCTAATTTGTGGTTAATGAGTTGATCATAAGCGTGCATGTTTTCTGGGTGTTCCGCATCTCCAAATAAATGGCAGGTTTGTTTTGATTATCAGTTATTGCAGGTTATTTTTAACATGTCATTTGGTGTTTAATACATTTATATTTTTACTTGGGAAAAAAATAAATTACCAAAAAAATCCTGGTTGTAAGTCTGATCATATTCATTTACGAAACATTTTGCTTTATTTTCGTTTTTTTATAGTTACATATGATTTGTATGTACTGCACAGTGTTGTATATATGTTACCAGACCCCATGGTAAAAAGAAAGGGCAGTCTTAAACTTGTTTCCTTCTTTCTGGCCTTTGTGCTATGAAGAACCATTTCCCGAACTGTCACCTATTGAATGTTTCCCCTTTTTAAGCAGCGTTATTGGCGAATGCTTTTGAACCACTGCCAACTCAGCGTCACCAATAATTTGTATATAAGTTGGTATTACGAACAGAAACTGGTTACGATTAGTTCGTGTGCTTGATGATAGTGGTTTATTGACAAGATAAGTATTAATGTTTCTAAAGAAAGATTTCAAACAGCGCATATCTGCTATAAAACGAAGCTCAGAAACATGGACATATACAATATGTATAACAGAACAAAACCTGAAATGTATGCAGAGATTGATCGAGAGGTGTATTCATTCTCGCGAGTAACTTTCGTGGTGTAGGAAGTAACTCGTGAATCAAGGCAACGTACGCAAGTTAGAGACTTTGACGGTAAAGTGGGGAGGCTCGGACAAGACGCGCGGTGAGAGGGGATCATAGCCGATGGAGGGAATTGGGAAATGCGCCCGAAGAGATGGAACGATGGGGTGCAGGAATAAGATTCGTCGTGGCATCACGGAATCGTGAGCGAGGGCAACGCCGTGGGATGGAGCCATTCGCTCAACAGTGAACAGAATATGGCTGATGAGGTATGCGCCGATACATCCAAGTGCGTTTTGTGCATAATATACACACATCTGGAGTATCTGGAAGCGGAGCATGCATATCGGTGTGTATTGTGACGTATTTTTAGCTCAATGGGCTTTACTCGGGAAATTTTCTTCTGATTCTGAACTTATTGTATGTATATGCATGCGTACAGGTGTGTGTTGTGCAATACACATCTTTGTATTTACACAGGTAGGCTCGTCATACAGGTGTACGTGGGGGGGGGGGGGGGGGGGGGGGGCGGAACTGTGACCCCGTATTTACACATCTACGATAACTCACACAAAAATCCTGGTGGGATCGCTCAAAACACGGGTGGCGCCTTTTTATCGCACGGCGCGGGGAGCCGGCTGTATTGGAGCACTGACGATACGGTTCGACTCCAGGTCGCGGTGAAGGTTTCCCTTGGCTTTGGGGAGCTCCCCAAATGCACGGGTATCCACACTCACCTGGTCGAACTCCGGATTGCGGCGTCGTCGTAGCAGCGCGTGCAGGTGAAGGCGACTCGGGCAGGTTGCTGAGAGTGAGGTCATCCGCTCGGGCAGAGCCGAGAGGAGAGTGACTCGGGGCGAGCTTGGGAGTTGCGGGCAACAATTTTTCACAGCGGTTCAGCTGGGTTTCTCGGGGTCTCCACACCTACATCTAGATATTCTACACCAGGAGCCGGGCTCTCTTACACCACTTGCCTGGAGCCGTGTGTCAAGCGTCAGTCGCTGCCTCTGGGCTATGTTGTCCGGCGATGGATTCCAGTTGAGCGGCAATGTGCGACCGGGACGCGGATGCAATGTTTGGGGTCGTGGGGTGTCACGCTCGGCATGTGTGTGATCGGTCATGTGTGGTCAGGCGCAGGGAGCTTACACTCTTACTGATGTTAGACTGGAGGAGATATGTGACGAGTAACCGGAGCGAGAGATATACTTGATGTTACGTGTGGAAATACCGTTTAGGGTTGTCATCCCGATTGAAAATTAAGCCCAGGTCAGCGAGAAATTCACCGCTTTAGATCTTGAACCTAAATCTTACGTGTGTTCTATGTAACCAGGTGGCAGCTCATGGAAATTCACGGTCCTTTGGAAGGAACATCGGGTTAACATTAAAATATACAGTCCTGTTTATGATAGTGTGATGGTGATTGATGTAAAATGCAATGGTGTTACAGAGAGTCGAGAAGGCTGATGTGTGACAAATATAGTGGCGTCTATGCTTTTGACTGGATCTTCCGAAAAACATTTTTTTTATTTGGGCCCTAAAAAGTTACAGCCCGTAGAACGACTGGTTTCACTCATGGGGCAGTCACTGCAGAGTGAAACTGGTTCTCTCTTGCGTTAAGCCTCGTGCTGAACACGTGAGTGAACCAAGTAATTCGCCTACCATGGACACTAAGGCCGATATAAAGCGGATAAAAGCCCAGCTACTGGTCACGATGAACATAGTTGTGTGTGTGTGTACATACACAGTTAGCAATTGACATTGTCTGGGTACGGTGTTTCAAATTATAGCCGTGCAGAGGTTTGGATACTTCTGATTTTGGCAATGACCAATGTTACAACATCGTTAACGTTCCTATGTCAGTCACGCATGAGTGAAACATCTGCAGTGAACTGGCTGGTGTGAATCAGGTGGACACAGCTCATTTGCAACGCCAAGTGCAGTATTTCTTCGCCGCAGCCGTAAAGTACGGCCTCAGTGAGTCTTCTTCGACTGGTCGATGTTAATGTAGAACAACAAGAACTATGATTTTACATTGCGGTGTCTGAGCCCGATAATTACGTCATAAGTAGCGGAGTGGTGAATCGCTGTGATAAGGATGCCCTTCCTTCGTATTAGTGAATCGGTTATTGCTGAGTCCATTACATGTTGGCACTGTGTATAATCTTGAAGGCTTACATGTCGTGTGCCACCAGAGGGTGGAAGTTGCCAAAATTCCCACATCAATGTGTGTGTGTGGACTTGCAAAGGGTCGCGAAACACACAGGGTACCTATGCATTTAGGGAGTTAGGAAGGGGGGGGTTATGAGTTTTTTTAGTTTGATCATTTTTATTACTATTTTGAGATGGGGGATAGTGGTTCGAAGGTACGTATGGCAAGCTAAATATTCAGGAGCTACATGCCAATGTCGAGGTCTGTAAGTCGCGACAAGATGGGGCTTCAGGATAGAGTTCGTGTAGTTTTGCTTTTCCTCCTCCGTTGGAGGGCAAATTACAGAGGTTTACTATATGGTCCAAATGTGGCTATTTTCCATTTATGCATGAGATCTGCAAATCGACCTGTTGGTGTTAGGATGCGATTGATGGTGTTAATCCAGGGTTAGGTGTGTCATTGAAAGAGCGTCACGCAAGGCAAGAGGGAGGAGAGGATACGGGGTGAGTCTGGATTTAAACACGGAAAATGTATCTACATTGTGTCTTGCCAAGGGGATGGCATTCCTTACTCCAAAGGCTGCAGAAGTTGACTCAAGGTTCCAACATGGGTCTTAGTTGCTGGAGAGGAGGAGGGCAGAGGGGAGCTTTCGTGCTGCGTGATTATTTAGGGCTGCGTGGATGACACCACCCGTTCCGGGGAACATTAACTCTGGGAACTGTGGTATTACAGTGGGGTAGGAGCATCTTGTGGTGCTATATACAGCAACTAATTTCAGAATGAGTTGCTTTATGTTGATATTCACAATGGCTTCCTGGTTTATCTTTGGGGCGCTGTATAAAACTATTTTTTTTTAATTCTCGCCTTTCTCTTCCTCCTCCACTCACTCCCCTCTCTCTCTGCACACCTTTCCGCGTGTTTGCACGTCATACACTCCAGGTGTCTTGCCTGTTGGAGGTCACCTTCCTGCGCTGGAACACACACCTGGCCATTTGTACAGAGACATGCACATCATACATTGCATGGTTAGGTTAATATATTCACATCGGCACTTACCTTGTTTGAAGAATATTTGTTCCTGTACATTTATGTGGTTTCTTCTCGCCGGGAGTGGGATTCTAACCGAGCGCTATTCCAGGTTGAGAATCCTTTCCTCAACGTACTGAGCCACTGTGTCTCCTGCAACTGCTCGGTCTTCGCGGTGGGTGTCGTGATTGCAGAACACACGTGGCCCTGTGGTAGTGCACGCGTTGGCGTCACAATGGCAGTGTGCGTGTGACGTCATCACGCACGGGTTTTTTTTTATAAATGAACAAAAAAACCACAACATAAGCTGGATTTGAACCCGGGTCGCTCGTGTTAAAACCATCGAGTTGTACTCACCACGCCACAAAAGCTTGCTGATGTCCCAGTGTCCTGGTGACTTGCCTATTCGTCAAATTTAAAATATGACATTTTTAAATGATTGTGATTGTTTGTAAAATAAAGTTGTTTATGAACGGTGAATTGTTTAATATAAACTTACATTTTGTTTTAAAAAGGGAAGAAAAAAAACCACGTGGGAATCGAGCCCGGGCCGCCTGTCACTAACAGTTGGACGCGCGCTACCCACTCGGCTGCCACGTGGCGGGGACATCAGAGAGGTTATTCCCTTGACAAGAGTGGAGAGAGACTGTCAGACCCAGGGTGGAATCCATTACAACCTCGCGGGAAATTTGGCAATAAAGTTAAGATCAGACCTTCGTGCGGTTGACGTAGAGCACCAACGATCAATTTACACTGAGGTGGTTGAGCCATATACAATTGTGTCACGAGTAGCGGAGCGGTAAAACACTGTGAAAACGATGCTCTCATTGGTATTTGTCAGTCGTTATATTATATTCCATGGTTCTGTTCTGGGTGGTGACCACAGTCGCACACTGCTGGAGAGTTGTTTTGTTCCATTCGCATTTGTGCATCTGCCATGGGTAGTGCATGATCAGGTCAAACCAAGACGTTGAACGCGTGTGCCTTGAGCTCCGAGTACAAAACATAAACACCACATACCACCGTGAGTTAGACTTCTGGGCTCGTCTGTGCAAAAGTTTGGAAGCTATTTAGGGTTCACCCGACTGTCGCCTCCCTAACAAGGGCGATCCTTCCAAGGCTGGCATGGCCCGGTTTTAGTCATTCGGGTTTTAATCGGTTTTTATATAAAACCGGAGCACCTGGATCCTGCCCAAATCCGGTTTTATTCGGTTTTTATTAAAGTTAAGTCGGGATTTCAGTCGCAGGCACCCCGTTAGCGGCGTTCGGGCCGGGTCCCGGGCTCAGCCGCCAAGCGCGCCCAGCCAGTCGACGACCCGCACAAGGAGCAGCTTCTACTTGGGAGTACACACAGTTCAAGATCGCGGCGACGAAGGAGAAGAACACACAAATCCTTTCGCTTTCAGCTCGTGGCCAAGCGGAGGAAGACCCCTTCGCTAGAGTGGTGGCTGACCGACGGCAGCGACT